CATAGATGGTTTACTGAACTTCGCGTGTAAAGAAAACTAATGTTCTTTTTATGAATTTAGAGAGACATTCATTTTTTCGTCCTTCCTTATAACTATCGTGTTTTATCTCAAATTAAGAAATAAAAGTTGTTTACTGTGTTTGCACAGGCTTATGCAAGCCAAGGAGAGCTTTGGGAGAACTCGAGAGCAATCAAAGCTTAAGTGTTTCATATCATAATCCGAGGGGACAGTGATGTTTTTAAATATGTATGTTTTAACTTATAGCTTCTGGTGACACTTCACACGTTATAATGTCATATTTGGAAGAAAGAAATAGAATTTTACTTTATACTTACCGTGACTTAAGTGCATAAGTAATGTTTATCATTTTGTTTCAAAGTCTTTGCAACTTCTTATTTTTATATTCAAACTCCTAGACATGACATATACATGATTGGTGATTTGTAATCTTGTCTTATTTAGGACTTTACTGTATGCATGATTGAGTTAGCACAAAATAAGATTACTTATTGAATCGTTTTGGTTATATTGATGAGAGTTTCATTCAACAGAAAATGGTTCGGAATTTGGATGAGATAATTTTTGTCCAAAACTCTACATAAATGCCGCTGACGTGTTGGTAAGTAAGTGTTTTCCTATGTTGCGTATTTGAGAAACTACTGCGATTATCAACAAAATACATCAGTTGAGAAAATGATATTTCATATTTTGTGTTTTTCTCTGTATCCATTTTGAAGAGTCTAATTTTTAAGTAGAGTGAAACAGTACTGAAGGAATGCTGTAAGGTGGTGGAAAATCATGCAGGAACAAATCTGTTTATTTTGATTGCTCCCACTTTTTATGAATGATATGAACAAATGGAAAAGTGTGCTGAAATGGTTTGATAATATATTGCAATAAAATAATAAATAAAATTTACAATAAGAAATAAATATATGGTGAAGAAAAACATAGAAAATGTATTCAATGATTTTTTAAATTGCTCTATAAGTGACTTATTACTTATTATTTGTTTAATCTATGTACATGCATTAACACTATTATACCGTAGAGAACCTAAACTATATGGAAAAAATAAACTTATGTTTTCCATGCATAAATAAACAAAGTAGAATTCCCGTATATAAATAAAATAAAATTTTGCGTACAAAATAATCTTTATTTTCTAAATGTAATATAGTCTTAGAAAAAGTTATTAAATGTCAACTATGCGGTTTCCTGCTTCACCATGAACTTCCATTTTCTTTATTCATGTTTGCTTCCTGGCCTTTCACTCATTTCCATTTTCATTTTATGTCGTCGGTGAAAGTGATAAATTTAGGTGCTCGCAAGGGAAACGGATAAAATAGGTTTTGTTAAAAAAGGTGGGAAAGTTGGGCATGTTGTTTGTGTTGGATGGCTTTCATAGTGGTTCTGGTTGTTGAAAGAATGGGTATTAGTGAGTGGAGATGCTTCTCGATGGTTGTGGAAGTAATGCAGCATCTTTCAATAAATCGTCGATGTACTTGATGGTATGATCGAGGTCGCCATTCTTACGTTGAAGGAACATTTCGAGTCTATTAGGAAAAATGTTTGGAAATAGTTTTACGAGCTGCTGGATGTTTGAGGGAACTGGTTTTGGGTTTTGGACGTGGGTCCTGCAATTCATCTATAAAAGACAAAATCACAAATTGCAAATTACTTTTGTGTCACGTGATTGTTTGTTTTACGCATCTCAATTTTGTTAACACCGAGGCATATGCTAACAACCTTACACCTAGTGACAAATTTCCCAATTTTAAAACATTCAATTTCATACATTGATACAGATAGATAATATTGAGAAGACAATAATGTTCAACTATAGTTTTGTTCTCACTATCTTCTCAATAATCTTTGGATAGGACCTTAATCACCTTTTATCGTTGATTTCCTCTAACATATCATATTCACATTTTGGGAATACATCACTATGTCCCTCATGGATGTCACATATATGGTTGAGAGCTGACAACCACTTTGCCTTGACAAGTTCTTCATCCCTATTGCTGGAAGCATTACACCAGTATACATGGTTGGAAATTGATTGGGCCCAATCTGACAATAATTTGCAACCACTTTTTTTTGATGCTGCCAAAATTTTCTTTTTGATTCCTGTTGGATTTTGATTATTGATGAAATGTGTAAAAGGTTGGTTTGTTATGACAATCTATACATTTTGGTACATGCCATACATCAAAGTAGTGCTCGATTTTAGGTCTTTGTTTTGACATGTAGGATTTGATATGAGCATGCCTGTCTGTGGTCATTGACTTCACCTTCATCCCACTTTCATCAAACTTTGCCAGACATCTTTTTAATCCCTCAAGTTCCATTGCTCCAGAGTTAGTCACTTCATTGGACTGTTTAACATAATTATGTGAGTATTCTAATCATGTTTTATGTACAGTTGTTGAAGAATTGTTACCTGAACAAATTGTGTGTCTAAAATGTTGTTAGATTCCAAATCCACGATGCTATATGACCCATACTTGGCACTATATTTAGGCGAATCACATCTTCCATCTCCTCCAAGGTTAATGTTCCTTTCTCTGATTGATTCTAGAAGATGCTTTTGGTGCATATGCCAAACATTTGAAACACTGGGTATCAAATACGCTGTTTAAATATAGCTATATATACGCTCTGACAGAAATTGTATGCCTGAGTGACGAAGGAATTGAAGAACTTTGCTGGGGCCACTACCACTAAACAAGATGCTGGCAGCAAAGACCAAGTTACCCAAAGGCATTCGCCCATAAAGAGGTTGGCTATTCCAGTCTTGAACATAACCACAATGACATTTTGCTAGTACGTTAACCATACTACCAGTCGTTTTGGTCACAATTGAACAGCTTTCATCACAACATGGGCATTGGTACTAACGTCACATTGTCATTGTCGGATTCTTCATTTTCGCTTAACTCATTTGAACATTGAGAGTCTGATCCATTGTAGCTATTGCTCATCGTCGACGTGCTTTCTGTATCAGATCATACAGCGCTATCCTCAAAATGTTCAATTTCACATGACGTCGTCTGTGTGCTGTGATTTTTTTCTGAAATGAACTCAACCTCCGTACCTTAGCATAAAATTATCGTATTGCTGGATATTTCACAAAAATCAAAACGGCCGAAATGGAAAGTCTATACCTCTACTTATCATATTTGGCACTTTTGTTTGAGTGGTTCATGACCTAACGGGTTTTTGCGGACGGATTGTTATGGCTGCTTGGTATTTCACATTGCGCTTCTAAGGTACGTTAAGGAATTTTCTATGAGTTAAAATAACACAGAAAAGATCAAACGACATTAGTCTGAATTAGTTACCACTGTATATGTTTATGTTTCGCTGTCTACATATATTTTGACATCTTTTATCTTAGACAAACTTCCTTTGAGGTAAAACGCACAAACATTTCGAGCCGATGTCGACACATCGTGGTCGTCGTCTACAAGAAAGTCGTCATGTTCTGCAAGAACGTCGTCAATAATCTAAAATTATACAATTGTCTTCACTTTGGTAATGCTATATAGCCTAGTTTTGATAAATGTAAACAAATATTGCTAACTATAACTATAATATTCATCTCTTGCCTTCGTCTCTTCTCAAATGCAGTTCTAACATTTGTTGGCTGCTTCCCTTTAGATGCTACACTTGTGGGTTCCACCGAGTATTCAAAATCGTGGATACAGCATCCTTTTAAGGCGAGCCGTCCTGCTGTCCGTCCTACTGATTGCATCTCTTCAAAATTTTGCACGAAGCACGAACTCTCGAAATGTTGCGAGCACAATTTTGAGCTCTTTGTTGGCTTCCAATTTTGCGTCGTATTTTTCAATCCAAATATCTCGCATGCGCTTGTTTTCGAAACGAAAAAAAGAAACCTTTTGCTGCGTTTGGTGGTTCTTAGAAGAACCTTTTTTACAATTAAATGCGGCACAATAAACCAGATTTTCAATGCTAAATTGTCGTGTTGTTAAGAAGTTAACAATATATTTTGAACGAAGCGCGCAATTGACCGCGTTTAGCTAATGTGAACTAATACGTCACAACGACCTTTTTCCAATCGGTAGCCGTCGCTAGCTCGTCGGGCATTTTCAATACGTTATCAGTAAAGCATCAACTTTAAAACTCCATATCTTCAAAAATATTTATCCTTTGAGTCTAAAACTTTGGTGAACTATTAGTTGGAGCTATACCTTTATGTAAAGTACAAAATAACAATCCGAATTTTATGTTGCATGTGTCCTTTAATCAACAATTTCAAAAAAATTCTGGCGAAAAATTGCGAACTACAAATGTACACGCAAAAGATTATTAGGTTTTGTGTTTATCATTTCACACAATCATATCCATCAACGTTCTCTACCACATCTACTAGGAATAATTCAACGTTCCACAGCCATGAATTCTTAAGAGTTTTCCATTTTAAGAGTAAGAATTCGCTTTGTGTTTTGGAAGAAATTGAAAATCAGACGGAACGGGTCCAAGGAACATTTCACTGTAACAAAAGATAAAAAACACAATTATTGAAAGTCTAACTAAAGACAGTTGAATTAACATTTTATCAGTATTTGATCATTATTTACATATCATAAAAAATGAAGTTCTCCTCTTTGTAACGCGCTTGGTTTTCAACGAATATTTTACATTTAGCAAACGATATAATTCGCACTCGCCAGTCCGTTTCACATCCCTCCTTTACATCACACCTCTCCTTCGCTTCACAACAATTATGTATAAATGTGAGCGAAAGGTATCCAAACATGAATAATTGATGAGCTTTTAGAAAAATGGGAATTGAAAAAGGAAAACGGAAAATAATCCAAAATTTTGATGCCAAGCGTTAATGCACGGTTTGGCTAAATTTCCTGAAGGTTTGTAATCTTTGACAACATGTGCCCCATTTTAACCCATTGTTTTCCAATTGCTTTTCCATTTTGTCATTTTCATGCAAGCTATTTCAAAAGTGTTTCTCGGTCTCATACAGTCAATTCCTGATTAAAGTTGAAAAAATCGTAAAAGAAGACCTGTTTACATAATGAGACCTAAGGAAACCAAGAAGATAATATTTACCTTATTTACCCAATCTTCACACTTATTGCTCATGAACAGTGTTTCCAAATCATTTCGTCCAAAATACGGTGGAGGTCTTTCATTGATTTGTTGTGGTAGTCTCTCAAGTAATCCTACCGGAATATATCTACGTTAATAATTTATGTATCGTATTTAAAACAGGAATTTTCTAACAACCTGTATTTTCTTCATTTAATGAAAAAATACAAAAATTACAAAGGTTAGTAAGGTATTGCACAGGATAAAAAATGTTGAAGCAAAAATAAGCACAGTACTCACACATACAAACTGGAATATTGATCACATGATTATGATTGTTACAATTTCAACTTTATTTAAAACGGCGCAGGATATTTTCCCGTGTCATCAAAAATTCATCAATAATTGCAACGTGAAAATACTCGCCATGATCAATAAACAGGGAACCACAGAAGATAATGGGACAGGGATGAGCAATATTAAAATATGTATGTTCTACTTATTAGTTTCTAATAAAATGAATTTTTATTTCATATTGAAGCATTTAAATATATAAATGTGACCCATCCCCCATTATAATCGATCTTCCTCTGTGGTCCCTGATGAATTGCTATTCGCCATACCATACGTTGACAAAAAAATAAATTCGTTTCGATTACTTACGTAATACCTGCGTAAGTATGTCAAACAAATTACTTGCCTGTATAGGAATGATAACCATTCTAAAGAAAACGCCTGGTCCTTTCAACACCTACATTACAACAAAATATGACAGTGTGTTTCACACAGAAGAAAGAATGTAAAAATACGTAAATGGCAATTAACACGTCAGGAAAAATGAAAAAAAGAAGTCTTGGGATTTTACCTCGGTATCAGATCCCCAGTGCTCTAAACCGTAGTTCACGTATTCTTTGACAATATCTAATCGCTCTGTAGAAGATATATCCCAATGTCTAAAGTTTATGTTTGACAAGATAAATGAGATACAAGGCACAAACAACATGCTTATCTAAAAAAATATTCAATGATTTCAAACGAAGAATATAATACAATACCATAAACATATTGTTGCACATATATTGTAGTTTCACACCTTTTTTCTTTAATTTCCGTGAAAATCCACGGTTTTATCAGAGCCCCTCTACAAAAGAAAAAATATACTTAAAACAGTAAAGATTCAAAAAATACAAACAAATCTAAAGTTAGCTACCTTGCTATCATGACTCCAGAAACTCCAGTTTCCTGTCTGTGTCGCTCCACATCCTCAAATGAAAAAATGTCCCCATTTCCTGTGGATTTAGAAAAAAAACAGTTAAGCTAGTGTACAAAACAATAATCAAATTTTGAAATAATTTTTTTCAATAAGTTTTCATGCAAAAGTAAAACATAGCTACTACATAAGATTTAAAAGAATCAATGCAATGACCAACCAAACAAAGGCATTGGGAAGCGGCTTGAGCACACTGATGTATATAATTCCAATCTGCTGACTTAGTATAGCGTTGTTCACGTGATCTACCATGTAAAGCTAAAAATACTGTAAAAATTTCTGCGAGATTTCCTTTAATTCAAGTTTAATCATACTAAAGGCTTTAGTATCATTACAACATTATTTTTAAAAATGTCTTTGCTTTAGCTTTTAATGGAAAGTGAAACCTAGTTATTTTTACCAATCTTTAAAGAGCAGAACGCTATCAGTATTCAATAATATATATGTGTTGAAAATAAAATATTTATTCAATGATAAACTTTGGAGAAATACATACAGTCACAAGGAGCTCCCCAATTTCTGATTTTAGGAATAAGTTGAAGAGCATTCCACTTTTTATCATGAACGCCTGTTCTCATTTTACAGTAAGAGGAATATCCAAGACCTAAAATTTCACACAATCGAAAACAATTTCACAAAATACTTACAGAAAACAACATACATGCACTAAAATATTGTTGAAATAGTGAGAGAAAGATTATTACTAAGTGCAAACCATTTTTAAAACAAAAGAAGCAAATTTTGAGGAAGATCATGAGGTTAAACATAGTAAAATCAAATCATTACGTGGTTCATTGCACAAACGATTTCTCCAAAGCGTCTTGATCTTTCCATCAAAGCAGAACCCGCTCCTACAGAATAATTTTATTTGATATTTTAAAAGTAAACAAAACTATACATTATATACACGTAAGCACTGGTGGAATTTTTATGAAGAAAACTTATAATTATCCTCACTACTGCATAGCTAAAATTAACGATTTCAAAGCTAAAAGCAAGAAGATTGGACATCAAATATTTTAAAAGAAAAGTAATTTGCGGGATACAAAAGCAACACAACACTTCTGGTCATGTATTGAAAACAATTCCTATTCTATGATATATGATTATCTGAACAATAAATGAATGAAAAGCAAATCCTCACGTTTGTCAACAAATTGCTTACCTTATTAAAGACCAGATCGATGGGACATCCAACATTAACATCAATAAAATCAATTTCAGCCTGGTCTTGCAATAGTTCGGCGCATTTACTCATAGTATCGGAAAGCTTCCACAGAGCTGAAGAAAAGGACAAATCAACGTGAAATAAATAGAGAATATAGCTAGAGCTTGTTATGTTCGTTGTCCTAGTTTCAACGGAAAAGCACGCAGACGAAAATAAGTAGATTGTATATGAAATGTATAGGTCTTTTTCAATACATTACGTTAAAAACATAAACCTTACCTGGACACCAAATATATCTTCACATGATGGCGCTTTATTAAGGCCCACTCGGAAAGCGTACCCTAAAAACAGACCAGTTATCTTCTATGCATTAAGTACAACTAGAAACTAATTATTACAATGAACAATTTTTCTGTCAACCGGTGATTTCAGAAGTTTGATAACATTCATACAACATAAGCAATTCATATAATTTTCCCGCCTGCGAATGGTTGTATAATGATTGGCTCTTAGATTACTTCTTTGTCTTACTAACCAATCAGGAGCACAGTTTTCAAAAATAAATTGCACTGTATTTCTTTTTTGCACTTTGTTTCCTATTTTGCACTGGTATCTACGATAAATTAGACTCCTCCAAACCAATCAAAATGAGAAATTTTTCATGTATATTATTACTTGCTAAAACGTGATTTGGTCATATTTGTCAATGATATGCACTGTTTTTTGTTTATTTTTATCTTAGGGACGGCATTAATACATCTTATAAAGTGTTAGTGAAAGAATGATTTTACCGACCTACATAGAAATAGAAATACAAAAATTCATTATTCAAAATTATGGTCTGTTGATATAACAAACAGCCAAAACTTTTAAAACCAAAGAAATAACAATTCACCAAAGTTGCACTTCTATACAAAGAAACTGATGTAAGTAAATACAATAACATACAACTTATTGAATATGTACAGTAAGTTTACATATATACCTATGCATATGGAGAAAAATAACTGAATAATCTGGACAACAAAAAATAACCTAAGTGAATAAAACAAGATGTGTAGCAGTTAAACTTACTTCACCCATATGTACAATATACATAATCACAAACCTGAGAAGTTTAGTACACATAGCCATTTCACCACATGTAACATCTGCTCCATGAGACTTGCATAATCTTCTGAAGGGTAAATTACCAACCTGTCATACCACAAATATTGAAAAATATCCATCATTCACAGAATTGAATGTACAAGATGTTAAGTACAACCATAAGACGCCCATGACATACGATGATACCAAATAGAATTTGTCAATGAAATATGTCATTTCTCTTAATCAAAGGTATGAATTAACAATTTGCACAAAAAAGTCATGTTATATGAACCTAAAAATTCATAATGTACATTGTCATGTGATAAGCATGTAAAAAAATGATTTTTCATGATGTCACTTAATTGAACATGACAACTTAGCACTTGGACACTAGCCAACATGAAAAAATAAATTGCTAAAAATGAGGTTTGTCGAGGACCAATCTGCAATATTTATATACCGGTATAATTTATAATAATAATGTACCGGTAAAAAATTTATAAAGGATCAGCCACTTACTGTTGTAAGGGGAGCCAAATATAACTTGCCAGAGGAATCAATCTAAATTATCAATTACAAAATATCAATAAATAGTTTTATTGACAAAACAAATTAACTCTATGACTGGAAGATAAGACATTGCAGTGTAGAGCTCAACATTTATAGACATTTAAAAAAAACCTACAGTCAGTGATGACCTATCCAACAATGACATATTTCTTTAATTTTGACTACGTATATGCTCTATAATGGTTGTTCACTCCAGCATCTCAAGGAAACATCTGCATTGTTCAATCAGCCACTAATTGAATATGCAAGAATTCACTTGAGAATTTACCTTCTTCTTTTCTGCAGGCTTCATACGTATCACATTCTCATTTGTGAAAGCTCCCAAAGTCTGTACAGTTTGATCATTATCTTGAGATTGTACCTTTGATTCTTTTATCTGCTTTATGTAATCATCAGATTTGGGAAATAAAAATTGTTTTTTCCTTAGTTTAACTTGCAACGATTTACTTAAAATATTCATGATTTGATCATTGTATGATCCATTGCAACATTCTCTTGTAACATTTATAAAATCCTCAGTGAGATGCTGTTTGCCAAATCTACATGTAATGCTGTAAGGACAATTTCCATACAGCTCAAAGTTTCTGCACTTTCCAAGAATATCTGGCTGACGATGTTTTATTAAGATCTGTAAGTCATGTGAATAGTAGCATTTATCTCCAAATTTACACTTGCCATCTAAAAACTGCAAGCAAATCTTATCTTTTGCCAAGGGATTAGGATTCCTTGGTCTTTTCTTGTTCATGCCCCTTTGGTGTTTCTTGCGGGGTGGTTCATCCTCATTTTCATTCACATTTTCATTGCTCGCTTGAGATGCATTTGTCAATAAATCATCTTTTTCAACAACCTCTTCGCATTTAAAAAGTTTATAAGGAAGTAGATACCTAAAAAGACGATGTACTCAAAAGTAAGTATTTTGTATTATTCTTTATGCCATGTGAGAAACTTTAGGATGGGATATTATTACAACTACAATCGGTCTCACTTACTGTGCCTTAATAGCAGCTTCTCCTCGGCGATATGGTATTTGATGATCACAAGTTTGTGAGGTGGAGTTACTTTTATCAAAGGAACGAGTTGCCATTGAGTTCTATAATAACTCATTGTTCTATAATAACATTTGTACCATCAACCATGGTACAAATGGCAAAGTTTGTAAACTTTAATGGCACAAAGTAAAACTCAATGGTTACAGACTGTATCGGAGATTCATTGGTAGCCATTAACAAAAGCAACAAGTGAATTTATTATACAACAATGTATCTTAGCTTACTGGTTTACATAATCTACCATCAACCATGGTACAAATGGCACAAAGTTTGTAAACTTTAAACGTTCTGTCAGGTGGATTTCTCAAGAGGAGTCATGGTCAGTGAGGGAAGCTGTAGACTGTCGTGCAGACTGTCCAGTACTGACCTGCACTGACCTAAATATCTATGAAATCCTGGAATAAGCCCTCAATTTATTCTATATGATTCTAGATACAATCTTAAAATTATCGTTTACTTTCTGTAAATACATAACATCTTTTCTATAGTATACAGCAATTACAACTAGTGTACCTAATATCTTCTTTTTCAAAATAATAAATAATTACAATAAGTGTTGTAGCCATCCCCGCAAATTTTGTTTCTGCTTTTAAATGTCAGAGAATTATCATTTTTCATCTTTATGAAATCTTTTGTTTTGCAATTTGTGAACGCAGAAAAACTTGCACAGCATGAGAAAATTTCCAGCTAAGTCACTGATTGGTAACTACTATAAAAAGTTTTTGAAGTTATTTTGTTTCACACAAGGGCATGGACGTAGGAAGATCGATGATAAACGGGGAGGGCAAAGCAACTTAGTGGTAGACTAATTACAGGGCCTATTTGTTGGACTTCAATTGGAATATGTATCATCCTCCCTTAAAGTTCAGTCTCTTGATAACATTTGTGTTTTTACAATCCTATGTCTTTTTAACTCATACTATCAACGATAATGAATGAATTTAAAGTTAAACTAGTGGCAAAACTCACTACTTCATGAGTTTTGACTATCGTTCATTTGAACGGTAGATCGTACAGTTTTAACAGTATAGATGGTCTAAATTAGGAACATAAAATTTCCATGTTTAAATTTATGATTTTGAACACAGCTAAGATGGATTAAATTAGGCGTTGGACGATTTAGGAAATTATAAACGACCAACTGTTTATGATTTAACCAATTCGCTTGAACGCTTTCTCCATTTTCTCACTATATGTAGAAATATATAAAGATAAAAAAGAAAATAGCTAACTTGTATATTACCAGAATCCAACCAACCTATATTGACTGGGCTCATGTCATCAGCTTTTTACAACAGCAACTTTATTCATAGATGGTTTTTTGAACTTCATTGGTAAGGAAAACAAAATTTCTTTTTTATGAATTCAGTGAGACATTCGTTATTTTTCGTCCTTGCTAATTATAACTATCGTGTTTTATCTCAAATTAAGAAATAAAAGTTGTTTACTGTGTTTGAACAGGCTTATGCAAGCCAAGGAGATCTTTTGGAGATTTCGAGAGCAATCAGAGCTCAAGTGATTCTTATCTTAATCCGAGGCAAATACAGTGATGTTTTTTAATATGTATGTTTTAACTTATAGCTTCTGGTGAAACTTCACACGTTATAATGTCATATTTGGAAGAAAGAAATAGATTTACTTTATACTTACTGTGACTTAAGTGCATAAGCGATGTTTATTGTTTTGTTTCAAAGTCTTTGCAACTTCTTATTTTTATATTCAAACTCGTAGACATGATATATACATGATTGGTGATTTGTAATTGTCTTATTTAGGACTTACTGTATGACATGATTCAGTTAGCACAAAATAAGATTCATTATTATATCGTTTTGGTTATATTGATGAGAGTTTCATTTAACAGAAAACGTTTCGGAATTTGGATGAGATAATTTTTGTCCAAAACTCTACATAAATGCCGCTGACGTGTTGGTAAGTAAGTGTTTTCCTATAGTGCGTGTTTGACAAACTACTGCGATATCTTCAAAATACATCAGTTGGGAAAAAGATTTTCATATTTTGTGTTCTTCTCTGTATCCATTTGGACGAGTATAATTCATAAGTAGAGTAAAAGCAGTACTGAAGGAATGCTTACAGTTGGTGGAAAATAATGCAGGAACAAGTCTGTTTATGTTGATTGCTCTCACTTTTTATGACTGACATGAACAAATGGAAAATTATGCTGAAATAGTTTGATAATATATTGCAATAAAATAATAAATAAAATTTACAATAAGAAATAAATATGTGGTAAATAAGAACATTGAAAATGTTTTCAATAGTTTTTAAATTGCTCTATAAGTCACTTATTACTTGTTGTTAGTTTAATCTAAGTACATGCATTAACAATATTATACCGTAGAGAACCTAAACTATTTCATAAAAATAAACTTTTGTTTTCCATGCATAAATAAATAAAGTATGATTCCCGTATATAAATAAAATAAAATTTTGCGTGCAAAATAATCTTTATTTTCGAAATGTAATATAGTCTTAGACATAATTATTAAATGTCAACTATGCCGTTTCCTGCTTCACCGTGAACTTCCATTTTCTTTATTCATGTATCGTTTCCTTCGCCTTTCCTTCATTTCCATTTTCATTTTTTTCGTCGTGGATGGAATTGATAACTCTTACACGAGTAAATGTAGGGCCGCAGGGAAGTGGGATGAAATAGGTGTTGTGAAAAGGTGGGAAAATTTGGTATGTTGGTTGTGTTGGATGCCTTTGATAGTGGTGCGGGTTGTTGAAAAACTGGTATTGGTGAGTGGAAAGAATCCTGATAATTGTAGAAGTAATGCAGCATCTTTCATTACCCCTTGATGTACTTGATGGTGTACATGAGATCGCCATTGTTACTTTGAAGGTACTTTCGAGTCTATCAGGAAAAATGTTGGGAATATTTTACGAGCAGCTGGATACTTGACGGAATTGGTTTTAGATTTTGCCCATTTTGGATGATTTTGGATTGCAAATCAGCTATAACTTCGTGGGTGGATTTGCCTTTAGAAATTGGTCTTAGCTCCTGCATTTCATCTATAAAAGGTAAAATCACAAACTGCAAATTAAGTTTTATGTCACGTGATTGTTTGTTTTACGCATCCCAATTTTGTCAAACACGCAGGCATATGCTAACAGTCTTACACGTAGTGACAAAATTTCCAAAAGTTAACACAATCACTTTCTACATTGATACAGATGGATACTATTGAGAAGACAATAATGTTCAACTGTAGTTTTGTTCCAACTATCTTGTCAATAACCTTTTGATAAGACCTTAATTAACTTAATCCGTTGATTTTGTGCCAATTACGAATAAATGAGAGGTTTAATCATTGAACGTTGAGTCATTGCAAGTGTCGAATATTTCATTGTATTCATTAGCCAGGCCAGACTCTTCTGAATTATCGTTAATCATAAAATACAAGCCAAACTTTTTCTATACCAGAGCACTTTTGTAGCCGAGCACTTTAACAGTGGCAAAAAATTCAAAATGGAAAATTAGTTAAAAGAAAGTTTAAAAAACCAATCTTATGAAACATTTTAAAGAATAAAATCTAGACTATCATTGTTAAAACTTTATATGAACTCAGGAAGCAGATATTTTTCATAATTATTGTCATTTTTGCGATTGCCCATTGAGCTGAAATACATAAAACGCTGCCTAAAGGAAATAACTGAAGCCAGATCTTACACCGTTACATGCCGTTGCATGTGTAGTGCTTCGAGATTCTCTCAAGAATTGATTGACTACAAACTAGGCTGTTGCTGTTTATCGAAATATCGATAAATATCGTTTTTTTTAATATCGGTTCATAGATATTGCTTTTCTCGGTATATCAAATTATCAATATAACGAAAATATCGAAAAACCCGAAATACACGGCGTTACGATATATTTAGATATTATAAATAGTTTTAGGAGTGGTATTTTGGTATGAGTAGTGTTAGTAAGGAACTGTAATACTTAGCTAGATTATAACTGCATGCTTTAATTGATGAAACTATTAAATGGTTTTGTATATCATTAGACAATTTTGACTCAATCACACGTGCGCAGGAATTGCTGGCTAAGTTTCAATTTGATCTACCTATATGTGTCATCACCAACAATACTATAAATAACAACAAAATATCGGAAAACGTATATCGATAAATATCGATATTTTTTATATATACCAACAGCTTACATACGCTTGTCGTGGTGTAATATCGTTTGAAAAATTTTAGACTTTTCTATTACAGGTAGCGTTTCATGTATTTTAGTTCGATGGTTTTGCCTTTTTTTAAGATGGCGTCTTGCCTCACACGTAACTATAGAATTTTGAAGAGTCAAATATGTAGTAGCTTGGATTTTACATTCTTTTCTTCAATGCCCTAATCCTGTTTAAGATATACCTTACCCAAAAAGTTAACGCTATTGAAATCGACCTTTGTTCATAACAAAGAAGATTTTCTCGTCTAGTAATCATTACTGTCAACAGCAGTTTATGAATAATAGCGCTTTATGCGATTGCTGGCACAGTATTGTCATTACATACATGAAAACGTAGTTCTACAACTGGTGATATTCTGACTCCATTTCAAAACCGACATTCCATACATTGTTTCCAGTGCACAGTGTTTAAGACAAAATTGAGTAAAAGTTGTTAAAATAAATATGACATTTTCTTTGCCAACGTTAAAATTGTCAAACAAGAAAATTTGTTATTAACTTTAAATTTTTTCAGTTCTTTGTTTCATAGCGTGGTCTCGTAGAAACATATAAATGTAAACCTATCTTCGTTCAGTAAATAATTTCATTAACTTACGCTCTAGGCACTTTTTGGTGTTAAACCTGTACAATCTAGGTTTATACAATTGCAAAATGTTATACATATTAGAACCCAAACTACGTTGCGCAAAATCATAAGTGATCATATAATGTGAACACATAATTATATAATTTTAATCGGTTAGAATAACACTCCCATTCAAAAGCATTCAGGTAAAGTATAAACGTGTTTGAATTGTGTAGACCGAAACGGTGGCCTTGTGAAAACGATTCTTGCTATC